AAAAAACCTCTTAGTAAAAAAAAATGTTCATTTGAAAAATCAGATTACAAGCTTTTATAAAGAAAAAATAATCTATATTACCACACTATTCTAGACTTCTTCTTATTCTCCCTCATATATACCAACGATTACTTTTTAAAATAGGGATCATTTACATTTTGAACCTGTTTTATGTGTTACAAAGGCACTCTGGTGGTACAGTGCCTAAGGCATTTTCACTGCTAACTTGAAGGTTGGCAGTTCAAATCCACCAGTCACTCCACAGAAGGAAGACGGGGCAATCCACTTTTGTAAAGATTTACTGCTTCAGAAACCCAATGGGGTCGCTATGAGTCGGAATCAACTCAATGGCAGTGGGTTTGGTTTTTGGTTTATGTATTGTAAGCATTTTTCCCTGTCACTAAATATAACATATTGTCAATTAAGGGTCGTATCTCAATTTTCTTATTTCTTATTTCTAGGGTTTTTCCAATATTCCCATTTTAAAGGTACTGCTGAAAAAAGCAACCTTGTAGCTAAATATACATCCATAACTCTTCCCTTAAGACAAATTCTTAAAAGTGGAATGCTGGGTCAAAGGCTCTTGATACATACTGTGAAAATGTCCCTCAGAAGAGTAATAATCATTTTCATTACCAGAGGAGTGTGCCAGTTCCCCAAACCTTCACCAACTGGTATTAACAGTCCTCAGTGCTCATTTTTTCCATTATCTATAAAAACCAAACCCACCACCACTGAGTCCATTTCAACTAATAGTAACCCTATAGGACAAAGTAGAACCACCCCACAGGGCTTCCAAGCTCATAGATCTTTATGAAAGCAGATTGATACATCTTTTTCCCACAGAGCAGCTGGTGGCTTCAAACTGCCAACCTTTTGGTAAGCAGCTGACCACTTAACCACTGCACCACCAGGGTTCCTCCATTTTCTATACTCAGATAAATCATGGAATTAGTTACACTCAACCTACACTGCTGCTCACTGATCTGGCAAACATTTCATCAGCTTCTCTCAGTGGTACTTTTGGGCCTTATAGTGCCTTGGAAACCATTTGTAATAACAACAATTTAGTTTATACAGGGATGCCAA